GTAACGAGGCTCAATACTGCCATATTCGTTAACATTGCCGCGGCAGCTAATGTGGCTGAGTGATGTGTATTCAGTTTTGCGGCGATGTGAACGCGTGGACGTGGTATTCGTGTGGTATCGTGTATTCGAGAGGATGAGAAGGACTAACTAAAACAGCTCGTGAAGCGAAGCGAATCGGTGATGGAGGACGGCGATGGTATCAAACTGAAGTCGGAGGTGCCCGTGTGCCAACGGCGAAAGAAATCAAAAACAGTCGAAACAGAAAAAAAGGTGTTCATGGGTGATGATGAGTCTGCGAGAATCGAATCCAACAATGATCAACAGAAAAGAAACAATGCATCCTCCCTAAGATGCCAGAAACTTTGACTAAACCACGAATAGAGGCGCGTTACAGTGAAAGACCATTCCCTCCGCCAAGGAGCTGAGCCCCTGTGTTCCTGGTTCCCCACTACTCCTCTATCCATCCTTCTCGGCCAAAATGCTGTACGAAGACTGACAGGTCCGCAGCCCAAAAGCACATAGCCTCCACCGAACTGTATGCTTGGGTATCCTTCAGAAGGGCAGCAAGGCTGCCAAACCGGCGAAAGCCAGGGAGTAACCGCCGCCTCTATATATCAAAGGGACAAAAAAGTGTAGTTGGCACAACGCTGTTTGTTGTAGAAGCGAAATTGCGACTTGAACGGGGTCATCGTGTTTCGACTCTCTTCTCCGGTCCTCATTGAGGTTGGTTCGACCACCATTGGGCTGGCGTTTGCTGGTTGGACCAGGCCTGTGTCACGGCCGGAGATCCCTGGTTCGGCTGGGGCATATACTGACGCGGGGTTTGGTCTGTCGGGTAGATCCCTTGGCCGGCGGCACCGTAACTCTGGCCCATGCCTGGCATTCCCGAAAATTGCATACCCGGCTGCACGCCGCTGGTTGCATGTCGCAGTTGGGGAGCCGGCGACTGCTGATGCGGCTGCTGGCCCTGTGTCGTATATCCAGAGTAGTTATGTTGTTGAGGAGCCTGCTGCGTTTGGGGCCACATTTGACCAGTCCCTGGGTAGTGATAGCCCTGGGCACCCTGAGGCATGCTGCTCGCACTCCCGGCTGCAGGCAAAGTCGTCGGCTTATTGTTCTTTTGGGCAGATGGCTGAGCCATGCCTCTCATTGGAGCCTGGCTGATGGGATTCTGCGCATGGATCGATTGAGAGTACGGCGGGGCTGTCATCATCATTTGAGGACTTTGGTTGGGCACAATGCCTGACTGCGACGGCATATTGCTCGCCGTGGTGTGCGGCGATTGTGTTGCACGGGTAGCAGGAACGGCGGCTTCGCTGGTGGCAACATTTTGGACAAGATTCGTCGACTGGGGCTGCTCATGCGGCCTTCTCCAAATACCCTGGAGGTAGTCGCCTCGCATCTCCCGTTGCTGGTTAAGAGACCGGTTGTACTCGGCAGCGTGATGGGCCTGGGCATGAACTTCTCCAATCTGAGCAGGTCGAGTTTGATCCTGGTAAGCCGGGCCGGTAATTTCCTGACGTGGACCTCCCTTGAGAATTCCGCTATAGTCGCGAGGGCGGTTGTCACTGAGCTCTGATCCTAGTGTTATCACGGGCATTCTGGTCGTGGTTCCGGTTGGCGCTCCAAGCATACCTGGTTGGACGATTTGGGGTTGAGGGGCGCCGGGAAATTGGCTGGGTGTGTTGCTGTAGACGATCTCACCGTGAGGGCCACCCAGCAGGACCTGGTTCTGCGCCTCAGCTGCGGCTTCCCTGGCCTTGGCTGCTCCAGGACGCTTTTCGCCAGCGGGGTCGGCCTCTGTGAATCCTTGTTTACGGGCCTTTGTCTCCCAGTAATCATCCCGAACTCTTCTACCGTTGACAATGACGCGACTTCCAAACTGGCGGAACATGGATCGGGCCGTGACAATGGCAATTTGTCGTGATCTGTAAGAGAATGGCAGAATCTCCTGGCTGACGAGGTCGTCCTTCTCGGGTTGGCTGGCAATGATCTTGAAGAGCGACCTATTCTTGTTGAAAAGAAGGTAGGAATCTCGGTATCCCAAAACCCTCGCGCATTCAGTCGCCAGCATGAAAAGCTTATCCCCACGGTTGGGAACTAAGAAAGTTCGGCATCTGTATTCGCGGCCGCCCAACAACTGGCCATTGGGCATCACCTTCTTCTCTCCAAACTCGTCGATTTCTCTCGGGAGGTACTCGTCGCCGGCGGGGTTCAGCTGGTCGGTGGTATGATCTCTCACTGTAGGGAGAGCTTTCAAGGTAGTCTTTGTTGGTGTCGTCTTGGGCGGAGGCGAGGCCTGCGCGGGCGCGTAATTGACGGCGGCTTGACCCCCAGGCAGCGGCGCGCTCTGGTTCTGGGGGGTTTGCGGTGGTGGAATATTTTGAGGCATGTTGGCTACTGGGGCCTGACCGGCAGTCTCGGAAATGGCACCAGATGATTTGGACTTGGATGACTTCCCACGTTTTCTCGGGTTGGAGTCACCTACAAAGATACTAGTGTTAGTTTGTATCGCGTTGCGCGCGGCGGGGAAGGAAGCAAGAGGTTACACGCGCGACTGGTGAACAGTACAAGCATGATGGGGAAAAGTGAGATTCTGCATGGGAAGGACATACCGGCAATGCCTGCAGATGGATTTCCCTGGAAGTTGTCCGGGGAGCGGCTTCTTTTGATGCCGCGAGTGCTTGCGTTGAGCAGGTCTATACGATGATCAAAGCCGTCAGCATAATGTTATGGCAGGACAATTGTGGTAAGAAAGGTCATAGCCATGGCTCAAACAGGCGAAGGGGGGGGGCGCGCAAGTGGTAGTTGCGCATGGAGAAATGGTTGCTAATCCGGCCAGGGCCTCGCAGTGGAATGCGATGACGGCTAGCGAGCAGGCTGGGTGGAGGCGGGGGGCTTAAAACTGTGGAGGGGGGCGATGGATAGTGAAATAAGCAACATACCAGGAGAGTTGAGGGCAGCTGGGTTGATTGTCGCACTATCAGCTCCGTTCGGCTGAGTGGAGTACATTGAGCGCGCAAACGTCTCCCGGTAGATTCGTCAGGACAAGATCAGAACAACGAAAGACGTGTCTTGATATAGTTGGATTGCCTTCCGGCCGGGTCGCGGGCGAAGGCGACGCTGGGTCTGGGGAGGGTGCGTTGGGTGATGCAGGGCAGGCTTATGCGTGCATATGGTTGGCGCGAAGTTCTGAAATGTCCCTGGCGGAAAAGTATGTCGAGTAACGACGGGCAGGGGAAGCGGCCTGAGAAGAAATCGAAATGGAAGCTTTTTCTTGCCTTTTGTTCGCTCTTCTGAATCCGTACCGCAGGACAGGAATAAGAGGGTTATGGGGGCGTATGGCTAAGGAAACTCTGAACTCTAGATGGAAATGCAAGAGTTGAGTTGCAGCGCCGGTACAACCAAGCCGCAGAACTCAATAGAGTATGGGATAGGGTCTGTGTCCTTGGGGCCCGGGGCGTGACGGGTAGGTAGGTTCTTTGGCGAGAGGGCCTGTGTGTAGCAGCTTTGTAAGATGTGAGGAGGAGAAGCGTGTGGCGAAGATTTGCTGAATTTTCCTCCTCTCGATTTCCACGCGGCAAGAAGTAAAGCCTGTGTGTCTTGCGGCGTCTGAATAGTATGAAATGAAGCTGTTGATGAGCCCTTGTTTACGTGAACAAGGCCGCGAGACGCAAAGAATAAGTGTGGGCGCAGAATCTGAAGGCTGTTGCCGGTGGAGATGCGCGCGTGCGATGGTGAAGGAGGGAAGATGATGGATGGTTGGTTGGAGTTCGCAAAGACGTCGTGTGGTAAGGTATACCTATGGTAATTACGGATAGGATAGACAGATGATGGATGGACGGGGAGAAGTGGGCGACCTGATGAGAACGGCAAGGTCGTGGTACGGAGGGGGAGGGTGAATGGAAGGTGCCTCGTCGAATCGTGCCGTCGGGGTGTGAAGCCAAAGTACCCTTCCCTGAGCAGGCAGCCAGACTGAAGAGTCTGAGAGGTACTTAGAGGAAGTAAAGTAGAGCAGGCAGAGCTGGATGTACCTCTGGGTGTAGCGCGGCCTAGTCGGATGCTTGCGCTTGTCAACTTGCAGCCGAATGCCCTTCTGGGCGACTTCTGTGCTCCTGTCCCCGCGGAGGGTTTGCGCGAGGAGTGTGTGTCTGTGGTAGAGAGGGGTGGGTGAAGGAAAACGCGACTCCCAGCGAATGGAGGGGGTTTCGCAGCCTGGAAGCGACGGGGATTATCTCGTGGGCGAACGGAGTCGGCCAAGTACGATGACGATGGGTCGGAGTTGTCGATTATGTCGTCGATATCAGGGGCGGCGACAGCGACAAGATGCTGGTCAGGGTCTCGGAGACAAGTAGACCAGGGGTTCACGGAGCGAGGTTATGCGACGCGACGGTATGCGATGGAATGCGACAGGATGGATGGTGGGAAGCTGAAGAGAGCGAGGTGCGAGGTGCGAGGGCGTCGGTATCAACGGCGATTATTAAGAAGCAAAGGAAGCGTCTGTCGGCTGCTTTGTCGCTCTATTATTTGTTCGTACGCAGCATAACAATTTGTGAGGCAGCCTTGTGGATTTCTCGTGGCTATCTTCCGATGGCGTTCTTGTCCTGAGTGTAGGTAGCCCTGCCTCGGTTTGTCCTGGACGCGTCTTGGGAAGCGTGTAATAGAGTGTATCTGCAATTATCGCAGTGACCGAGAAAGGCTGGGCTGTCCAATTTGCTCAGAGCTGTCTGTGTATTGGAGCTGGATCTGGAGTTGGTGTTGGTGTTGGTGTGTGTGTGTGCCGCCTGTGTGTGTGTGTGTGTGTGTGTGTGTGTGTGTACGGAGTAGTATCTCTGACAGTGACAGAAGGAACTGGTGAACCCCGCGACCGGGAGAATGAGGGTCTAGTAAATCGCCAATGGCGGGAGGGATGAGGTCGGATAACGCGCAGCTAAGCAGGTCGCATCAGCAGGTGCGATGCGAGGTGATGGTGTGGGAAGCGGGCTGGAGCTTGGTCGATGCTAGAGCTGGGCTGGGATGGGCTGGTGCATGCGCAGAGAGAGTATCAGCAGAGCGAACAGAACGGAGTACGGATAGTAAGGCACTGGACCTACACCTTAGTGAGGTAGCGACTAGCAAGAGCGGCGGCAGGTGCAGAAGGCAGGTCAGTCGCAGATGTCCCGGCGCAACGCGACGTAAGGAAGATGGGAAAGCTGGGAATGAAATGGATTGGACTGGACTGGGACAAGGTCTCCAAGTTTTCTGGCTGGGGGTGTGGGTGAGCGAGAAGGAGAGGGGTGGGGGTGTGTAAACTGGAACGTGTAGAGGGTGTGGCGTGGAGGGGAAGGCTAAGGTACCGGGGGAGGAGAGAATTGAGAGTCGTGAGATTGGGATTTGGCATAGCTACCTACCTACTGCGTATGATGACGGTGACAGGGAGCGTACATGGACCAAGGCACCTACCTGCCTTACTCCGTCGACAAGTCTCAAATGGAAGTCACCAAAGAATCACCAAACCGAAGAACGCACAGAAGCTGCCGAGACCCAGAAGGAAGGAAAGGCGGCGACAGACGGGCGGCGTTTTTCGGGTGTGGCGAGCAATGGAAGAACACACCACGCTTCGCACTTTAATGGATTTTCCAGCGGGGAGGCAGCGTGCGGCGGGAATTGGAAGGGTGGGGTGAAGATTGACATTAGAACGGGGGTGGGTTTAGTTCAAGAATACATACTACTACGTATGTACAAGCCAAATGACTTGCGCGAGGAAGGCTCCGACGGGAATTTGGGAAGGCAGTGGAAAAGTGAAGGGAAGGAATGACTGGAGAAGAAAAAAAAAAGTCTTTTGCTTCCTTCCTCTGATGATTCCATCACAGCCAAGGAAGAAATTGACATGCAAGTGAGGTGGGTAAAAGAAAAACGGGACAGAATTGAAGGTGGCAGGGGTGTGCCCCAGTTCACGGTTACGAGAAGCCAGCCAAGAAATCCAAGACAGCTTCATCGATAAGTTGTAACTTGAACGTCGGCAAAGGGCGTGTGGTGTAAATGCGTTTCTGCATTTTGACATGTATTGCACCTGCACTTGAACCCAAGCAGGTACTGAATCCAGTAAGAACTTGGAAAAGAGGCTTGACTTGACAATAGAGTACCGGTAGAGAAGTAAACACTATTCACTATTCAGACACATATACTTAGCAAGCGGCCTTGAAAGTTGAAGTTGCAGATTGTAGTCATCACACGCTTCTCTAAACGGGTTCTCCTCCGTACGGTAAGGTATGGATGCAGGCGCAGGCGTGCCGCGTGCTGCGTGCCGCTTGCTGCGTGGTGAGAAACGGGAAAACGGTTCATTCATCAGCATGACCACTTTCTCCGACCCCTGCTCGATAATACGCAGTAGTATGCAGCCTGCTCGAAAAAGAGGAGCACATCCAACTCTGGGCCTGCCCATCTGGGCGCGTGGGCACGGACGACGATGATGCCAGGGAGTAATCGACAGGGATGCCATGCACCAATACCGGCACCAGCATCAGCACGAGCAGCAGCGCCAGTATCAGCGCCAGCGCCAGCACCAACGCTAGCAATGGAGCAGAAACACAATGGAAGCTGGTTTACGTTGTCCTTCCCCCCTCTCCATGCCCTCGGGCTGGTAGCTAGTTTGACCGAGTTATTGCTTTGCGGCTTGTGAGTTGCGAGTTCCCATCGTCTCTGCCCGGACTAGTAGCCGCCATAGGCAGTCCACTTCGCTTGACGGCCGGTCCGTGTTCGAGGTAAGGTGTTCCATTCGTACTCCTCCGTAGCGGCGTAAACGCAGTCGGCAACATGGGAGACAAGAGTCCAGCTCAGCTGGGGTCTTATGGATCTGAGACGGGGGGTCGGGCAGGCAAGTAAAAAAGAGAAGGGCAGGACATGGAACCAAACGGTGTAGAAGAGGCTGTACGCAGTAGATACTCTTCGCTGCCGCCAAAGCCACCTACAACAGAATACCTGGGAATATAGCAAACAGCCCAACGCCGCTTGACCCAGTCCAAGTCAAGGTACCTTAGGTACTCCGCCGACGTGTAAGCTACCTTACCCGATGGCTATTCTCAATCGCGGTCCCCGTAAATTCGTAATCTGTTGGAAAGAAGGCTACTAGACCAGGTACATGTTCCGATCCATGGATATCTCTCAGCGTCCATCATCCGCATCTGCATCTTACCTCACTTAGCTGGCGCCTGCATCTGTCTGACCGGTCGAACTAAGGTAAGCAGTAATAGAGCGATTAAGTGAGCGCGTTTTGCACGCGCCTGCATGATGGAGAATGCGCAGCAGCGCCGAGGAACGGGAAAGCCTGCCATGGTGCCTAAGGTGCATTTGTAGATTACCTACGGAGAACTAGATGATGATATGCGGGCATCGAAGGCAGGTGGCTTATGTAACGCACTCTCCGAAGTACGTGCTTGCCTCACTAGCAGCATGGGAATGTACGAAGTACCTACCCTTTGTGCTTTACGCGACCTGATCCACGACGAGAAAGTACCTCTTTCCGCGGTGCCTGCCTTATTACCAAGGGAGGGCGGGGGGGGGGGGGGCGTGAGTATGTCATGGAATATCGGGAAACTACCTACGAGAACCCACCTACACAATCTCAGAATTCCTTACAGAGAGGCAACCTGCATTGAGAGCCTACCTATCTACAACGAATTCCCTTCATGCCGAGTCTGCGATACTTGCTCCCAAAAGAACCTCCTTTGTTGTATGATCACGCTCCTTCGACCGTTCAACGCTTGACTGGACTATTTGTCGTCAACTGAGCATCGAAATGGTATCCGTCTGGTATCCGTCCAGGACGATACATCGTCGACTTTGCTCGGACTACTTCACGAAGCAATTTTTCATCTGTGTCCGTGATAGAAGCGCGCCCTGTTCCTCACACTCTACTCGCACTAATCTGCCAGGCTACGTCCGTATGGAGGAGAGATCCGCTTCTCTGCCCATTTTCCACTGCCTATGATCAAGATCGCGCAAAGCCGTCGTCAATGCCAACGACACCAACCGAAGGCAAAGCACCAAACACTCGGTCAAAGTCTTGGAACCAGCCACGCCTCTTGACTGGACCAAACCTTCAGCACCTACCTGGAATGGTATTTCCTTGCTATCCAAGCCCTGTCGATAATCCAACACCTACCCCGTATGAGACGACGAGTTTTGTTCTAGGTGTTATCACATTGGCCTCGCCCTCTTGTCGCTTTGCCGCCAAAAGACATTTCGGAGGCTACGCTTCCTGCTCTCCACTCCATATGACTTTGAATATGGCAATGTGCAGTACTGTCTCTGAGTCTAGCTTCTCTGGATCTCTGGAGTTTCGCATGTACGCATCAAACCATGCAACTACAGCTTGGTTTAATCACCCTTGCGAGATGCTCACTGCACAAGAAGTCCAAAAGGGCTTCATCCGACACCAAAAGTCTTGGTTAACGCCCACCGAGGCCCGCTCGGAGCATCACGCCTGGATACAGAAGAGAACCATGGAATAGCGACCTGGCATTCAAGCAGGCATTCACGCCCGACCACCCTGCCTCATTCGAAAATCTTTCTGTTCAGATGCTGCTTGATACTTGATATCTCAGAGTGGGTGACCCGTCTAGACCCCCCTTAGCCCGTCCCAGGCATCGACAGGGGTTCCTCACGGAGGGCTGCCCCCTGCCCCAGTCTCGCGACACTGCGACTGATTGCATTAGAAAAGAAAGCGGGCAGGATTGCTGCGGCGAAGTGGCTCCCCGGCTTGCGTAGATGAGGTGCGGGAGCGATCACTACCCATCGTTGAGCCCCAGAAGAGGCCTGGCGGTAGCCCATGCCGGCCACACTTGCCCACCATCTCACTACCACAACCACGCCCACCACGGCCATCACCCGAACCTCACATCCATGATCCCACGCTTTCACACTATGTGTACTCAGCAATTAGAGTGGGGCATAGAGGAGTCATCAGCTCAGCATGCCATCTGGCATCAACGTCCATGATCAAGAAGTCGGACGAAGTCTAGTCATTCAGGTTCGAGCAAAGTAGCAATCACTGCTCCAAACGAGCAGGGCGAATCGTTTGCTGCTTCAGAGGAGTTTACAGCAGAAACAGCCCGCTCTATCCGCACTCTCTCCGGCTAGTCCGGCTTAGAAGGTGACTCGATCAGCGTCCTTCCGAACAACCTTGGGTCAGCTCCTCTCTTCGTCCTTCGGCGTCTCCTGGCCGCTTTAAGGCCCCAAAGCATGGGCTCAGACTTGATACTCTGATTCGACTCAGCTTCATTTCCGCCAATTCGAGAAGAGTGAAGCACTATCACTGGCAAAGATGTCGTTTCCTGGTCCTCGGCAAGGTCTCCAAAAGCAGTATATGTTCACTCCTCGTCGAACGTCTATGAACTTCGGCCAAGCGTCGGTCCACGGCGTGTGATGCGGCCCAAGTTAGCAGTAGCTGGCTTCGGTAGGCAAACTTCGAAACAGTGCAGAAGGCGGCTGGGCGGCCCTTCACTAACAGTATGGAGGATTTTCAGTCAACAAGACAGTCTCATTTGCCACCAGAAGAGCAGTCTGCTGTCACCTCAGTATTATACGATTAATCACGCATGGAGAAAGGGAGCATCCCTACAAAGTAGTTACGAAACAACAGGGCGCATAGTTATTCTGTGTCTTCCTGACGCATTATATGCAGATAGCCCAACTTGGAATGTAGCACTACGCCATGCATCTGTTTCCCTCCGACATATTTACGAGGAGTTGCAACTTGCAAGACTTCAGTTTGACGACTCTGGATCCTCGTCCCAAAGACTGCAAGAAACATTAAAGCGGCGATTCCTACCAACCATCCTTAGCTCCTCGGAGCTACTTCGAGGATCTCGTTACTTCTAGGTTGGCCCCGCTGGTCGAAAGCAGCAGTTTTCAGCATCACCAGGCTATTCTCGAAGCAGCAACAATGTGCCGAGGGAACCATGGGGTCAATTGTCCTTGACGTGAAACCTTGCCTGGGATGTATACGGCGCGCAACACACAGGCGTCTAACGATGCCTTGTCGACTTGCTGGTCAACCCAAAAGGAGTCTATCAACTTTTGGCTCAAAGGTTGTGTAACATGAAGAGCAATCGAAACCAGAAGTAGCCGGCCGCTGTAACGATTCCTTCAATATGGCAACCAAGTCTCGAGGCAAGGTAGTGCCATTCCGCTGCATCTCGATATCCGGTATCCGTACTCCGTACGGAACACACGCCAGACGGCCAGTCGAGTGAGGTCGACCGTCGGGCACAAAGTGGTTCAAGAGTAGAGGCGGGAAAATTCCCGAC